CCTCATGCATGCTGTGCACACACTCTACTGCTGAGCTAGACCCTCCCTCCTCGATGCATTTTTAATGAATGAGTGAATTTAGGAATAAATGCCGCTGGGCCACTGAAAGGCAGAGGCTGTTTATTACCATTTTAATACTTTCTGACTTTAATGTGCATGCATGATTTTTATAAAAATAAAAATTAATTTGGAAGACATCTCCTGTTCCAGTGGGAAGCCTGCCGACCCACCCAGCGAAGCTCTTAGAACGACCCACGCCTTTTGTGTAGTTATGTTTCTATCCACTTGGGAGCAGGAAGTGTGATTTTCCGAGTTGGCTGCTGTAGCATTTGATGCATTATCTGCCAGGTCTTCGGTAACTTACAGAAATGCAATGTTTTCATCTGAGACTTCTTTTCGTAAAAATCAAAGGTTTTCCCCCTCAAACGGAAACATTAGCATTTTAATCGGTGGCTTGAGGCCCCTCCTCTGTCACCCCTCAATGTGTGAAAACGGCCGCAGCCCCGCTCTCCCGTCCTGGGATAAAAGCTCATTCTCCGCGGTAGGAAAGAGCTGGTAATCGTCGTCCTTTGAGAGCCCTGAATAGCTTCCTGCATTTATAAATGTCCATGAAATTCTTGAAGGGATTGAGACGTGCCCTGTGCAAGAGTGTCATGAGAAAAGCAAAGTTTCAGTGGAAAACGAGGTCCGTTTACACGACGGAGAGGTGCAATCAGCCAGGGCGGCTGCGAACTGCTTTATCTGCAAAGCAGAGTTACCGCTCCAGGATGGGAGTGTCTAGGGATGCCGTTGCTGTTCCATAAAGAATCACGCCGCGCTCTCCTTTCTGTGGGACACTCCGTGTTCCTTTCATCGCTAAATAAATGCATGGCTTCCCGGTTTTACTAAATCTCTCCTGTGAAAAAGTGAAGCCGTCTCCTTATTTATTTTTTTTTAATTGAAGTATAGTCAGTTACAATGGGTCGATTTCTGGTGTACAGTGTAATAATACTTCAGTCATACCTGCACATACATGTATTCGTGTTCACTGAATGGCAAAGCAATTTTGCTCTAAAAGCACTTAATGAAACAGGTGGATTGTGCTGTTGGAGGAGATTTATTAATTGTACGCAGGGGAAATCCGTTAGAAAAGAGGTGTTATTAGTGGCCAGCCCATTTTAACACATTTTAAACCTTTGATAGTGTTTTCAAGGGGGGAAGCTTACAATTTTAAACACATAAAAATCTGCATTATATTATTCCTACACTTTTTAAATTTTCCACAGTTTAAGCTTATGTCAGTTTCAGAAAATGTGCTAAAAGGAGCAATTGCCTTCTAGCCAGTAGCCTGTCAGCTCTGTACCTTTGTTGTAACTTATGAGCTCATCACAAAATCCACCTTCTGGCGGGGGGGGGGGGGATTCAGGCTGGAGGAGATGGGTACAACCTAAGACACTTTCTCACGTCATCAGGATAACAGTGTATGCAGTGTGCATTTTTCTGCCCTGACTCTGAGAAACAGGATAGGCTGCTCTAGCTGGCAGGCACTCACTCATGGGAATGATTATTTAAAATAATGAAAATCCAGCCCAGGCTTTCCAGCCATTTCTTATATGCAACCCTACCCTCTGCCACCACACAGGGACCCCATCAGCCTTTCCCAGGTCCTCTCCCCCTTGGTCTTCACACCCCAGTCCCAGGGAGGTTACCTGCCCCATCTGGGTGACGATGCCCTGTGAACTTTGACCCTCACCTCTGAGGTCGCCCTCAGACAGGAGTCCAGGAGGCACATCCCAAAACCTCTCCTGCCCCATCCTCCCGTCCCACATTTGAGCTCAGCAGCTGGGCCACCTCTCCCGGGGCCACCCTGCTGGGAAGGGCATGTGGGTGAATCTGTTCAATGAACATTTCACCCCCTCTGTCGTTTGTGTCTCGTCTGGTTCACACGTCTGCATCAGCTGCTCTGGAACAGATCTGAGTAGTTGCATCAGCATCATTTTCAAACTCTGCCCCTGAAACCCTGCACCCCCTGTAGGCTTGTCCTTCCTGTCTTCCTGGCAGAGACTGTGGTCAGCCCAGGACTGGTGGAGCCCCTCCCAGGCCACGCTGTCCTCAGTTTGCTGGTGGGAAGCCAATGAGCCTGAGGGCCTTCGCTGGGCCTGGAATCCAGACAGGCCACCCCCTGTGCTCAGCCAGCTGTCCAGGAAGTGAGCCAGGCCCGCCGGACCTGTGGGTGGCCAACAGCTGGTGATGACCCTCTCTGCTTCCAGAGATCTCCATGCCAGCTTCTGGAAGCAGCCTCGGGGTCTTCTGCCCATGGCTTGTGGACCAGCCCACACTTTTGGAAAGCTGGAACTCCATTCCCATGTCCCATCCTCCTTTACGTGTGTCCCATGGGGTCCTGACCCTGATCCCTCCTAGAGGACATGCTCCTGGCCCTCAGCATCCATCACTTCCACTTCGAGGTCCTGTATCTGCTCTCCAGGCACAAGCGTTTTTAGGGTAGCCACCGACCTGCATGGTCCTCTCCCCTGGGAGGCAGAGACTGTTGATAAGGAGAGGGAGGACTGTAAGACCAGCAGCTGATCGGTGGTAGGACGTGGGTTCCACCCGACCCCTTTTTCTTCTCAAGTCACAGCCACTGCCAGCCGGAGGTGGGGGAGCCTCTGCTGGGCCCCCGCGGCCCTCAGTTGCCCTCCCGAGTTGAAGGGCATCACTGCCCCAAGGATGAGTTTCCAGTGAAGGGGTGATGGTTTGGTTCCAGCAAATTTCCATCACCTTTGAACACAAATTCAAGGAAAAGATGGCATTTCCCTGACTGGCAAGCCTGCCTCCCCTGGGAGATCCCCCAGTCCCACTGCCAGGGTCGAGTTGGTCTGCACCCCTGCACACATTTGGAATTCCCCTCCTGAGAAAAGAGCCTATTTCCGTGACATCAAATGACCCTTATTTCCTCTCCTAACTTCCAGGGTAAGGCAAGGGGGAAATGTAAAATGTGTATGATTTCAGAACACCCAAAAAATAATGCAAAAGTACAGCTGTTGAATTAAAGGCAAGTAGCTGGTACTTGTGTGTTCAGGGTTGGCTTTTACCGTGGGCCCCGGGGAATGACCAGTGAGTCGAACTAGCAACAGAATCGCTCATATTTTAGCGAATCATTGGCATAGTAAAGTTAATATATACAAAACCAGCCACCTCTACTTGTATAACCCCATGTAAACATACTATTTTTGCATGTTTATAAGCGTATGTAAGAATACTATTGGTGTCATACTTTTTTGTTATTTTCACATTAGCAGTTTTCTTCCTTGTCTTTTAGGTGTTATACAGGCACAGTTCTACCTGGAAGGTGGAAGAGAAGAACTTACAGATCCCACCACTCTCCAGAGCATCGTATTCAAACTTTTATTCCATGCAGTAGGATAGAAAGTTGAACTTGTGTCGTATATCACAAAACTTCCATTAATCTTCACAGTGAAAAAAATTCATTTGCTTCTTCTCTGTCCTTCTGGAGTACAGATGTGTGGAAGAATAAAGATGAATCGTGGAATTTCTACCAGGACTATGATCCCGAAATGATCAAAGAGGAGAAACGGAAGGAACTGGAGTCAGAGATCAGAGTGCAGGTAAAGCTGCATTTACGTTGTAGTCCGAGAAAGTCATTGACTGCAGCCACTGTGCTTTTTTTTTTTACAATTTCCTATTAATAATCTACCCAGAATTTAAGTTATTTTTGATGTCACAAGAAAACACGAGGCATGCAGAGTCACCTAAAAGTAGTGTTTTTTGTATGGACCTAGGTTGACGAGTTGATGAGACAGGAACTGAAAAACTTAAAACTAGCTGTGGACAGAGAGAAGGAATTACCGGTCAAAACAGGAAGGAAGAGAGGAGGTAAAAAGGTGAGTAGCGCACACACACTGGAGCGCTAGGGCAGAAGGCAGATCCAAACCATGACAAGGAGCCCAGCCCACGCAGCCGATGGCTTGTCCAGGAGTGCTGCCGGCAGACTGTGGCCGCCCCAGGCTGCTTCACCAGGAAACGTGCCTGCTTTTGATGAGTTTATGGTGGTCCGCCGTTTCGCCCTCAGTGCTACGTGCTCATAAATGGGGTAAATCCGACAGTCTAGGAGTACCTTCCCCGCTCGTCACTGCAGACCCACACTAGCCAAGCCCCGCAGGCAGGGTGAGAACTGTCAGAGGAGCTGGGCATGAGCCCCAAATGCCACCCATCTGTCGCTGTAGGAAGATCTGCAAGGGAGGCGAATGGCAGTGAGTGAGTGGGGGAATCAGATGATTGAATTGTAAGTAGCCACCTATCCGTCTCACAGTGGTTTAGAGAAGCCACTGTGGATTCCCAGTATTCAGAGTTCACTTACTAGGGTCCTGTGAGACAACAGAAAATATACCTATTGGTCTCTGCCCCTGGTTACTGGCACAGAGCTCCTGAAACCCTTAAATTCTTCAGTGATAAGAGCATCTTTTGTTACAACGAAGTGATGCTGGGTGAGTTCCTAGATGGCTCCCAGATTGGGGCTGGGTACCACGAAGACCAAGCCATGATTAGAAGCTTGGACTTCTCAGCTCTACCCACTCCATTCTCTAGAGAGGGGAAGACGAGCTGTAAATGGAGTTAATAACTGAGCATGCCTACGTGAGGACGCTTCCATAAAATCCCAGGAAGAAGGGGATTTGGAGAGTTCCCAGGTGGGTGAACACATCCACATACCAGCAGGGTAACGTGCCCCAACTTCCCAGGAAGAGAAGCTCCTGCACTCAGGACGCCCCCAGACCTCTCCCTGTGTACCTCTTCGTCTGGTTGTTCTTCTGCATCCTTTATCATACCCTTTAATAAACTGGTAGATGGAAGTAAGCATTTCCCTGAGTTCTGTGAGCCACTCTAACAAACTAGTCAAACCTGAGGAGTGGGTCTTGGGAACCTTAGATTTCTAGCCAGTTGGGCAGAAACACGGGCGACAACCTGGACTTGTGACTGGCACCTGAAGGAGCAGTCCTGTGGGACATCCCCCTTCATCTGTGGGACCTGATTCTATCTCCAGGTAGATGGTGTCAGAGTTGAGTTAGATCATAGGACACCCAGCTGGCGTTGCAGAAAATTGCTTGGTGGGTGAACCCTCACACATCTGGCGTCAGAAGTGTTGTGAGTTGGCAGTGGTGTGAGAGTGAAGGAGGAACACACGGAAGAACGGGTTTTTCCTAACACAGGCCCCCACGTCCCCTTTCATCTGGAGCCAACCCTGCCTCTGGGGCCAAGATACCCCAGGTCGAGGAGCTGGCAGGGGGTTGGACATTTGCCCTTAGAAGACTTTCTCACGTTTCCATGGCCCATCAACCCTTCCTGGGCTTCACACACGCCCTTAGAGTTTTTCCCAGTCTCAGCTGCATTAGTGACTGGTTGTGCCAGCCAGGGGCCATACGGT